ATCCATAAATTGCCTGAATTGTGGTCGAAAGCAGTAGCTAGCGATGGACAATACTTTCAATAAAAAATATGTAACCATTTTTTCACAATAAAGCCTTAAATTTTTGAAAAAAAAACGGCCGTTTTTAAGTTGTAGACCTAATATATATTTCAAATCTAGTGTTGGTACATATTCTTTTTAACTACATTTGCTTTTTTCAATCGATGAATAATAGATAACAGCCTTTAATTCTATCCGCTCCCGCTCCGAACATAAAAAAGTAACCGACAATAAAAAAGAAAAGAGTCAGTAGGGATAAGAGCGATAAAAAGCATGTTTTATACGTAAAAAAATACGTTTGATATCAATAATATCTATGAGAGCCGCATATGTATTTTGGCCGACTTAAATTTTGATAAATTAGAGTATGTTTCACTCGGAGATTTTCATTTCAATGACAAAAAAAGTCGAATTGATGTCTTCGTAAAAATTGTTGCTCACCAATTGAAAACATTCTCTACTTTTTTCAATACAAAGAAAGAGATAAAGAGAAAATTTTCTGTTGAGACCACTAAAAACACCGTTTTTTAATTCTTTTATCAATTGTCATACGATTTCCCATTTTCTGTCATATATAATCCGATTTGCTGTCATACGATTTCCCATTTTTTGTCATACGTTTCCACCCATTTTCGTCATACGTTTTCCCATTTTCTGTCATACCTTTCTCCATTTCTGTCATACGTTATCCCCTCACCCTTGTTAAAATTCAATCAATTATTTTTTCAAAGAATAAGCGGCAGCTTTCAACTATTCTCCACTTCTATTGGATTTCAACGGTCAAAGTGTATCTAATATAATGGAAACTAAATGCAAGTAGAGACGGTGTGTAAAAAATAGTGTAGAAAAACTTTTAAAATGGGGAAGGTTCTTTGATTGTGTTTATTTTCTCTCCTTGTTTTTTGTGTAGTTTCATTGCTGCTTCATCAAACTTGAAGTGGAATAGTGGCCAAGATCAATAGCAGTAGCAGCAGCAGCAGCAGCAGCAGCAACAACAACAACTTAAGATTGATAGATTTAAGTGAAATTTTCACAAAATTGTAACTGATTGAATATTCTACGAAGTACCATGACTGCAAGAATAGTTGTACTATTCTTGCAATATAGGACTCTATGTTATTCAATCATTCCATTTTTGGAGTGTGCTTGAATTGGTGGTCTGAAATTGTCTCAAAGCATTACAACTACAATGAGGGCACATTTCCAATCTTCTCGTTGATTAGCTTCCTGTAACCAAATTAACTTTCGATAGATTTAGAAAAAAACGTGGCTTTGAACTTCGTAACATTGTTTTATGTCTTTGTAATACTCTTGCAATATAATTTGGTAATTGATTATTCATATATGAATATAATTGTAATTGTAACTAGTCAAATATAAAAGGTTAAAAGTTGTCTACATTATACGTTCCATGTTGATCAAATCATCGCGCTTGATTTCAATCAAATCGTGTTTGGCGTATAGATTTTTCGTTGCCCTTTTTGTTTCCAAGTAAGCGTGCTCTGGGAGATAAATGGTGAGTTTGCATGCTCCAAACAATTTTTTACGTTCCTCGTTCAATGCTGATACATCGATTACAAATCCTTCTTTTAGTTGACGAAAGTAAACGAAGCTTTCAACATAGAGTTCCTTCAATTTTGGTAGACGTCGAATGAGTGGAAGCATTTCATTTATTGATAAAATATTGTAAAAAAAAGCTTTGCGTATGTTTGGAAATGAAACTGTCATTGCTTCTAAATCCATGTCTTTAACGTTCCAATTATGAATACTTATTTCTTTCAGACTAACAATCGACGGGAAAATAACATTAGTTTCAAATAACCCAGACAATGATCTAAGTCCACTCAATGCCGCAATTTGATTCACTTGAATTGCGGAAATTTGACCCATTCTCATCTCTATTCGCTTATAGAAACCACTGTCATAAAGTTTATTTAACTTGATACAAAGTTTATCCAATGTTGGTAAATATGTGGAGAAACAAATAATCAACACATCTAATTTTAATCTGGATGTGAGGATTGGGTTCCAATTATTATAAAGGAAATAATAAGAGGTTTCGAAACATTGAATGTGCTTATTTTGATTGAGAAAAAAGTTAACCCACCAATTTGCTTTTCTACTCCTTGACGTGGCTATCAAGTGTTTGAGTTTTGGATACGGTTGACACATCAATATGTTCTCAAAACACCCAAATTGATCAGTGCGAATCGTTTCAATACTACTCAATTTATTATAGATGTGGATTATTGTGGCCTTAGAAAATTCAACCATGCGAAAAGTAATTTCGCGAAGTGAATCACAGTTTTTCACAATATAGTTTAAATCATCGGTCTGATCCAATTTGAGGTTTTGAAATCTTATACTCTGGACAAATTTTATGAATCCATTTATTTGAATCTTAGTAAAATGGTTAGGTGTATAATAAATATTTTGGCCTTCGCGAATGGACGTCCTTTTGAAATTCTCTTGGAAATAGAGGCCGGTGAGTCGTTGCATTCGTTTGCACGTTTGACCGAGTGAATGCAGATCTTTGAGTGAGAGCCATTCAAAGAGATCATCACAGCAAATGGCATTCAGCTTGAAAATGGCCGGCGGTGACTTTTCGTTGTTTGGTTTCTGTCGCTTCGATTTTTTAATGATTCTGCCGTTGTTCTTACGCTTGCACATCATGTCGGCTTAAAATTAACTATTTCGAATGGTTTCTCTTTTTATTAAATTTTTCTTCTTTGCGGTCTATTTTTCAATCACTTGTTTGCACTTGTAAATCTGTATTTTGTCTTGAGTTAAAAAAAATAAAACTTTATCTAATGAACAAAGATTGACGAAATGAAACTGAACTGGCTATTTCTAGAGAGCAAATTGTATGTTACGCTTTCACTTCATGAACAATACTAACGCTAACAAAAATATTTAGGATCATTTTATATCAATTTTCAAACACAGGAGCGATTAGTATAGCATGAGGATAAAGTAGAAGTCACCGTGCTAGTCGCCAGTAAGCTAGATTTTTTGGACCTAATCCAGATTTCGAAATTCAACGTTTGCACCAGGTTCGATACCTACTTTTTAGTGCATTTGAGTGGAACATTGCAAACCATAGTATAATGGGTACCTTAAAATTCTACTTAAATATTTCTGAAACAGGCCTAGATTATGTACATGTTTTAGTGTATAGTGGAAAAAAAAGACCGAACATTGGCGATGGATCAACTAAAAATAAGATTTCGGGTCATATTTCTCCGAAAAAAGATTAAATTGTAGGTTATTTACTTCTTCAACCGTAGGGCCCATGCAAGACCCTAACGACATCTATTGAGTTTTGTAGAAATCATTATGGTACTAACTACTTGGTTCAATATGAGTGGTGATTCTACTTAACAGTAGACTTGACGTGAAGCTCAGCGGCTTTACTGTTACCTAACATACTTTTAAGTTACTTAAACTAACTTAATAGCAAAACGTCAAACCAAATGGTAGTTGTGCTCACTGTTGATATGCCGGATGTCTTCTACAACAACACTAGCTGGCAATTGTAAAACATCACATTACACTCACTTTTACCCACTTTTTATTTATTACTTAATTGTTACATTTAACATGGATGGAGCATTTTTATGTAAAATATTCCTAATTTTATAATCATTGTTGTTGAGATTTTCATTAGTTCGACTTCTGGCTGAATACGAAAACGCGTTGTTTCTGAAGCTGCGCTAGATTTTGAGATGACTGAATCGAAATAAAATAGGATACTCAAAAGGACGTGTTAAGAAATACATTGAAGGAGAAATTTTTTCTGACTTGTTCGATTCGTTTAATTTCGGTTAAACCGCGATTGGCGTATAAAGAACCGTGTCCCGTTTTGTATGGAACTTGGGCCATTTCGTATAGAGATGTGACGTATACTATCTTAAAGGGCACAGTGCGTAGATCAATTATATATAGGTACCCAACCCCTAAATCGAAGGGAAAGGGGTTAAAAAGGGGGTTATATGGATAACCTCCAAAATGAAGGCATCACTTTCGAGGGCCATGGCTCCCTAACTAAGGGAGGTAGGGCAACACTCCTTGGGTCAAAATTGAAGTACTCGAGATTACCTATCCAACGGTATAAATAACACGAGATCACACGATTTGTTTATATTAAAGTAAAAGTACCGTTAAATGAAAAAACGTTAATTTTTTGGGTGAAAAAGTCATATTATACCCATTTTCTGGGGCTGGGGCAGGGGCTATCACTTGGGTATGTTCAACAAAGTTGTACAGCGTTCCAAGGGGAACAATATTGCTTCAAACTATTTTGCCCCATCTCCTTCAATAATGGGTCTACGGCCCTTTACTCTCATAAAATTTTAGCCTGGTACAAAGGGCGGTGTTCCTTTTTGTGTCGTACGATGTTTATCAATCAGACTTATACCGTGGAACAGTGGGGCGTAGTGAGTATGTCGATAATATCAAGGTTGACTTGCCCTACAGGGTGTAAACGGGGTGTTATAGGGGTGAGTAATTTTTTCAATACCGAAACATTGTTGGTCAAGAAATAAACCATTTAGTGGATAACTATGTATGGACGAAGTTTTCAGGACGTTGCATAGTATCTTGGGTGAGGTCGCCCTCCACCGTTTGGCTCGAAAGAGGGCCAAAAAATGCACAAAATCACCAAAACAAACATATGAGGCATGTTTGACCCTTTTTTTGGCCAAAGGGATGGAGGGCGACCTCACCCAAGATACTATGCAACGTCCTGAATACTTCGTGCTGATCAGCAATGTCGTATAATTTGGATCTGCGCAAGAGTGTCGAGAGACACATTCATCATTTTGGATGACGAAAAATATTTCACGTTTGTACACCACACACTGAGTGGTAATGATCATTTTTACACCGATGACATTAGTACGACACCAGATGACGTGAGATTCGCCGGTCAAGGGAAGTTTGAGCCGAAAATTCTCGTTTGGATGGCAATTTCGAACAAAGGTTTGTCGGCGCCGTACATTCGGCCAATTGGAGGTCCAGCAGTCAATTCCGATGTTTATATCGCCAACTGCTTGCCCAAATTGAAAGATTTTATCGATGCGCATCATTCAAATGAAAATTACATCTTTTGGCCGGACTTAGCAAGTTGCCATTACTCAAAGAAGACGTTAGCGTGGTTGAATGGCCAAAACATACCTGTCGTACCGAAGGATGCCAACCCGCCAAACGTGCCCGCAGCGCGTCCGATCGAAAATTTTTGGGCTTTGCTGACTCGTTTGGTGTACGATAGAGGCTGGGAAGCCAAAACCGAGCACCAGTTGATTAACAGAATCAATCGAAAATTGAAAGAAGTCGATCAAAATGTCGTCCAGGCCATGATGGCAAGTATTCGGCCAACATTAAGAAAAATCGAAGATAATGGTCCGCTGAGCGTACTTAAATGTTAATTCCTTTAAAATATGAATAAAACTAACACGTTATAAAGTCGGTTAATGAATATCTTGTTTTTTATTCAAATGACAGCTACTTCAAAAAGTGCCAAAACTTATGAATCAGGCGTTA